TATATATATATATATATACACACACAGACACATACATGAGTCATGGGTATTGATAAATTATTTTCTAAGAGCGTTAAAAGGGAATTAAAAAGCATTAGATTAAAGTTACTGATTCCTTTATAAACCCTTTTAAAACATTTTTTGTGCTTAATGCTTATTTTTAGTTTATTTTTCCAGGTTTGTTAATTTTTGAATTAATTATGAAGCCTAATAATCATAGAAATGACTGAGGCTCGTCTTGAACTGAATTATTGATTGGGAGGTTTAATAGGTTCTGGTACTTGATCAACCCAAATACTCTGAGGGAAATCCAGCTTACATTTTATTCATTGAAATGAATCCCTCATTTATCTTGCTGTAAATCAGCGGCTATGACTTACAGATCAGGACCAGAACAATGGACCCAAAATTGAGCAGAATCTGATTGGATGTTTTTCCTCATTTCACATGAAGTTTGACCTTTTTTTTCCCTCGGGAGTTTGTTTGTTTTGTGGCAGTCCTTCTGTTTTGACTAGTTTAACCAGTGAATAGTTAACTCAGTTTAATGCTTAACCAGACTGCACACAAATCCTCCGCTTTGTTCATTTATTTAACAGAAGCAAAGCTTTTAAACCAGGAATGACCTGATTTATATGCAACAGAGGATGATGCTGTACCTGCTGCTCCTACTGGTCCATTTCTGTCCAAATATAGGAAAATCTTAAAAGCTGCATGTAAGGAGTTAATACTCGGTGAAATATCACTTATTATTGTATGTATTCATTCATAAAGGATTAATTTTCACTGCTAATCACAAGTCTGATTACCGGTGCTAATTGTTTTGCTAACTAGTGTTTGCACTGTGAGCCCAAAAGATGGATATCTGACAGTTTGTTTGGTACTGGATGGAGAATTGGTTCAATGAGCTGTAAACTGTGAGGCGTTCTCATTGGTTATTTATCCCTGCAGCTCTCACTGCTCATCATAATAAGAGCAGCAATGATTTGGGGCTCCTTTACAAGCTTAAACCTTCAAAGCTGCCGTTTTGGTTAAGATCAACTGCAACAGGCAGGTTGTCCCACCTGAGCTGCGGATGTTAGCAGCTCTTCCAGAGTTACCATCAGCTGCTGCTTGTGGGAAAGCCAGTTAGGAAAAATTGGGTAAAATAGATTAATTTCAAAATTCAACATTTAATATTTTCTTCTTTTTTATAACTGAGAAGAACCTGCTGGTTTTTTTCATACAAAGTCTCCAAAACGGGTGTGAATACTTTAGTTTTAGGATAACTGAAGTTGATGTCTTTGCAAAGTCTTTTTTTTTTTTTTCCCGTGCCTCTTGCTTCCTAGAGTCAGACAGAGCTGTAGCAGAGAGCCGGTGACCCCTTTAAAAGCCGTCATGGTACCGACATTAGCTGGGCTGCCTCCCAAAGTGGAAAAATCTGCCGCAGTCTGTTTCCAGAGGCATTGATTTGGAGTACAGCAAACTGCTTATGAAAAACATCCCGCGTGGGTGGCGTGCAGCGCAGGGATTAGAGAGCAGCTCTTAAAGAACGACAGTCTGAATGTTAAGATAGCATCAGCTGTCAAGGTGACTCTGGCAGTCTGAGCGTGTTGCCTGCTGCTTCCCAAAAATAGCTGATTTTTATGCCGTGCCCCTCCCTTTCTTTTCCTTTCACACTTCTTTATCTCGCTCTCTTCTTTCTTATCTGCTGCTTGTTTTTTTTCTATTTTCTCCTTTTTTCATTTGTCCTGTAACTCCTGCATCATTCTCCTTCCTTCTCTGTGATGAATCTGTTTCTTCCTTTTTAATTCCTCTTCAATTTGTCTTTGCTTCCACATCGCCCGCCTCTGAGTTTCCTGAACTTCTGCCTGTATTTCCTGTCCTTCCTTCTCACCGGCTCTTTCTCGCTGCCCGTCTGCAGGATGTCTGACTTCAGCGAGGAGCCGCGCTTCACCATCGAGCAGATCGATCTGCTGCAGCGGCTGCGTCGCACCGGGATGACGAAGCAGGAGATCCTGCAGGCACTGGACACTCTGGACCGGCTGGACCGGGAGCACGGCGACAAGTTTGGCCACCGCACCTCTTCCTCCTCATCCACCTACCTAGTAGGCGGGGCAAACAGCTGCACCAACAACTCTGCCTCCAACACAACCGCCACATCCTTCAACAATAACAACACTGCCTCGGCAACCACCACCACCTCCTCGGCGTCGTGCAACGGCAGCAACAGCGTTGAAGGAGGCGACCACGCCCCCGCCGCCGCTGCCTCGTCCACCACCTCCAAAGTCTCCACTGCCACGCAAACGCTGTTCAACAGCGGCGGGGGGCTTTCTCCTTCTCCAAGCAACAGCTTTGACACCTCCCCGCCTCCAGGGCGTCCGCCACCCTCCGCTGTCCTGCCGTCGCCAGTTTCATTGGTGGCGCTGTCTCAGAACGGCCGGGACAGTCTGGCCGCCACGCCCAACGGGAAGGTGTCTCCGCCGCGGTATCCGGTGAACAGCGCAGCCGCTTCACGAGCGTTTGGGTTCGAAGCAGCAGAGGAAGACCTGGATGTGGATGATAAGGTTGAGGAGCTGATGAGGTGAGTGGCAGCAGGTTCCTCTAGCTGGCTTCTTTCCAGGACGCTTTCTCAATTCAAAATGTCAGGAATAGCGTAGAGTTTGGGGCTTTATAGAGTGGACCAAAAAAAAAAAGTTGTTTTTGTTTTGAAAACATGCAATGAAAACATGTCTGTTCCAATTTACATATTTACAATTAGCAACAATTGAAAAAGCTTCCTGGATGGGAAGCAAAACGTCTTCAAAGTTGCAAACAAAGTCCAGCGGATTGTTTTTAATTTTCTTTTCTAAATGGAAACACTGCAATAAAAAAATGAATTATAATGTATATTTTTTAAGCTTTTATGCTTCCATGAGGGAGTTTTTCAGTCGCATCAGAATTATACTTTGCAAAACTATTATTAAAACCCTTTTTTTGTATAACATGAGTCCCGTGATCTGCAGCTGGATCGTACTGCCTTGCAAAGAGACGAACTAAGCAGTTGGAGGATGATGGTGAGGCGTATTTTCATGCATGAGCACTAGAGGCATAGCTGAAATATGGATGCATCTCATTTGTTTACATCCTCCATGTTTTCTAGAGTCATCACTCGAACCGAACGTATTAACCTGCAGTTTTAACTGTATTCCTTACTTAATAAAACTGCAATTATGACAAGTTGTCATCAGCAGAAAGTCGTCATAGTTTTTGCTCGTATTTGTAATGGAAGCACAGCTGCTAATAAAACAGGGTCCATTGTCTGGTATACTGTTAGTTTTACCTACATATGTCATGGAAATGTAGATATTGCTTCCTTATCTAAAAGAAGGAAGATGAAGCAATATTTCTTTCTTTTCAACCTGCAAACTTTCTCTCTGACCTTGATGGAACATCAGCTGAAATGTTTTTAATTTTCTCTCAAATATTGCCGTAATTATTCTCTCCTATAGAGCCCTGATTTCCTTTGACCCTGTAGTAGCTGCTGTCATGTATTAAACGCACACAAAGTGCTTTTAGAGCAGCCTTAAAAGCCTTTTATTTATTACCAAGCTTTTACTGAGGTGCATTTTCATTATGAACAGTTTGAAACGGCTGGATCTGCTTTATTAGCTTAAATGAGAAGAGAAGCACATTTTCTTTCAGGGTTTCTGAGATGGAGCAGCACAGAGTCTGGATGCTGTGCTTCTGCTGCGGGAACACATTTTTTTTTTGTTAGAATTCATCCTTGAGCTTGGAAACATTAAGCTGAAACACCAGGCTGAATTAAGTCACCCAACACCATGTGGATTAGATTTGTTTTTAAGGAAATCTACGGCATAGAAATACACCAACCAGAGATCTATGCCTGATTTATTATAAAGAAATCCATGTCTAGATTGACATGTTTTCCTTAATGTGCTATAATTTTCATAATGGCTTAAATATTGACATTTATAATACATTTAAAACTCATAGTTACTTCAAAAGTTATAAATATACATGAGCTATCTGTCAGAAAAAAACAAATAAGATCAATTTGTGATCTACTGTATACTTAATTAGCTAGAGCTAATTACTGCTAATGCTAGCACAAGCACCAAATCAAACTCAAATTGGGAGATGATGATGATGATGATCAACCGTTTAAACTGACGGCGAAACATCTTTCACTCATGGTAACATGTTCTAATATATAAACACTTAATTTTTTATGCACTAAATCAGTAAATGTTTCATATAGTGATGGTTAAAAGTATAATGTTTTAACCTCGAACAACAGCAACACAAGAGAACTTTTATCTTAATACTCTGAGCTCTGTGAGCGCTAACCTGGAAGCTGCTGCTGCCGCAGTGCATGCTGGGACAGCTGTGGATTTTAGGAAAATGTCTGATCCTGATGCTAACTGTAAACAGCCTCGGTTAGAAACTGCAGCTCTTTGTAGCATAGCTCTCCTTCTGGGTTAGCTTCTCCCAGCAACAGCCACTCACACACCAGGGCAGTTTCTCAATTCACTAGAAAGTGAGTACGGACACAGTACGGTTCTCGCCAAGTATGTTCTTGAGAAAAACACAGGAAAGTATGGACTTGGGGAGAACGGGAGCATGCAGCATAAATATGGGTCAAATGGAACAGAAGCTCGTGACGTCACCACACGCTCAGCTAGTCTGGAGCTGCATTTCACCTGCATTTCAATAAATTCTTACTTTTTTCATTTAGTCGGGGAATAATAATTAATACGGTCAGATAAACCCAAATCAAATGAACATTTTGCCAAATAAAACAAAAAATCTGAGGCTGATGATGTTTCACGAGCACATGAGAACACACAAGCACACATTGACAAACGTCCCAGCTTCTCTGTCCAACTCCCCCCTTATCCTCCTTTTAATGCCCTCACGTTGAAATTGAAAATGTTAGATATTATACATTAGCCGTTTTGGCCGGACAGAGCTAGTGCTACAAGAGCTAGCATACATCATTTACCCAGACTGCATTGCAGCACAAACATTGCTACATCAGTGTGACAGTATTTCATATGAATTTATGAAAATGGCCTACAGTATTTTGTACTGTATTTTATTTAAATTAAAAAAATAAATTCTGTTAGAACTAATCATGGATCCCTTCAAGCTTTGATCAGATATTACTGATTTATCTAAAAATAATTTATTTCTAGCCCAAGAGACAAGAGATGATAATTAAGAGAAGCGGAGAGTGTCTCTTTGATTTATGTTAGCTATTTAGCATAGTTAGCATTAGGAACTATAAATGGCTGTCTCTGTGAGAACTTCTGCTGTTCCGAAAAAAGTAAAAAAACAATCCACTGGACTTTGTTTCCAAGACGTTTTGCTTCCCATCCTTTTCTTAATTCAAAATGTCAGAATTAGCGTTGAGTTCAAGGCTTTATACAGTAGCCCAAAAACTTGTTTTGGCTTAGAAAACATGCAAATTGAACAAAAAGAAGCGGTCTGCCCCTTAGGAATGGGGAGTCATTTGGGTTCTTTATTAGCCTACAATACCTGATGCTGATCTATGTCTCTGAAGGAGGTCATTAGGGGGAATTGCTGGTCTGGCTGACCAGGCAAGATGTTTTGTCCCCTGCATGTGTAGATTCTTAAGATTCCCAAACCTGGCTTATTTACAACGAAGGTTTCACTGATCTGATATCGCTATCAGTCCCATATTGGAAATTCTACATCACATATCAGTAAAAATGTATCTCTTCTATAGAAGCACAGTCAGTCTACTTCTATAGGAAATGTAATAAATATGGGCCATTTCAACCCTTACAGTTTGTTTTCAGGCTGTAATTTATCCTGTTACCATAAATAACCATTTTTATGACTTCCTTTTCTGACCTTAAACCGATCTCAAGTCGCCTCTTTGGACGTCCATATGTATCATACCTGCTTAGAGAGGAAGTTTATAACAACCATGTAAAAAAAAAGTAGATCAACAGTGGAAAGGGTGGAAAATAAACAGAGCTCTGGTACCAGAAAGGTATGAGGATCAGTAGAAATCTAAATGTAGGTGTCAGAATCAGATCGGCAGTGAAAGAAGGTGGATCTGTGCATCCCCAGAGCCAACCCGACCGCTGCCTTCATGGTTCCTCCTGAAGTGGACTCGCATCCCATCACAATGCCTGCTTTCTCCTTTTCATATGCGGCTACTCCTTTACCTACACGACTACAAAATAGCAAAATAGAATGATTAATTTTAGCAGAAATGCTTATTTTATTCTGCTTGCTACAGTAACCACTGGATGATGATGTGACGACTCATCTGGTGGCTTTTGGAGGTGCTGCCTTCACTGATCGGAGGGAGAAAAGACGACTGCCACAGTTTCCATCCAGTTAGACAGAAAACCAAAAACAATGCTTTTTAAGAGGATTTTCTATCTCTGCTGTCTGCGGTGAAGTGATGTTGACTAAATAACACTGAAGCATCCGATCTCTAACCTAAATGCACTAAAGATTCATCTTAGACACGAAATCCTCAAGGATTTCTGCAGGGGTCATTAAAGTCAACATCAACTGGTTCTTTGTTTAGCTTGTTGAAATAATAATTATTAAGGTATTGAAAACCAGGAGATTTCAGCTTTTATTAAATTATATCTGCTTGAAGCAGAAAGATTTACCACAACTTGGTTTATAATTAATGTTGCTGTTAAAGATGTGCAAAAACTCTACAGACGAAATGGATTTTATTTTCAATGTCTATTGACGAAAACAAAATGGTTCACTATTTCAGGCCCTCGCCATTGTGGCTCCTTTTTTGAATAAATTTAATGTGAATGTTTGATCCAAACATTTAATGAGGGATTCTAATTAAAAGAACATGACACACACACAGGCCCATTTTCCCTCCTTGTCTGCTTTTCCATATCAGGGTGATAACAGCGTGCCTTTCAAGTAAGGGAGATGTCTGGTGCTCATCATAAATCATGAAACGGATATTAGATAATAGCTGGTTGCTTAAACAGGAGAGAATCTGTAGTCTGGTCAGAAAGTAGGAAGATTTAAGACGGCTGGATGTCTGACAAACAGGCTGGAAAGGGAAGGCTGGCCTCAGTGAGGAGAATGAGGCTGCTTCATCAGGCTTTAGGTGCCTTAGCTGCCCTATGGAGGGAAGTTTGCTTCATTATTGTTGGAAAAATGGACCGCATTTTGTAAATTGAAATAAAAAAAAAATGTTTTTTTTAGTAAGATTAGGAAAAAGACAGTCTAGAAATTAAACTTAAAAATTCTTAATCAAAAGGTTCTGAGTAAAAAAAATAAATAAATAAAAAAAAAGTGTAGTATTTTGGCTGTTTCCCCAGTTTTTTTTTTTTTTTTTTTTCCCAACCAAAAAATTTTATTTATTTTTTTTTTGTTTTCTTTCTACTTTTTCAGTAAATTGCTTTTTTTTCCCAACTCTGTTATACCGATTACATTCTTTTAGGGGCGGGCTTTTCTATAGGGTTCATCACAAAGACTCATTTCTATTGGTCTATATGGTTGTCAGCCACAACATTTTTATTTGTCAAACGTTTTTTCAGTGTTTTGTCTCTGGATTGCTGGATATTTTATTTTTTGTCAAATATCCCTTTACATGGCATGGTCTTTCCTTGCAACAATAATGGAACAACAGTTACTCCATACTGCTGGTTTGGCTGTTTCTAATGAGTAGTGATCTGAGAGAAACTAAATAAAACAGTTATTGTTTGAACCAGTTCCAATGTCTGAGCTCAGATCAGAAATGAATCTTCGTAGCTGTGTGGAAACCTTTGGTGCTTCATATAATCTGATGGTAGTATTGAGTCATTTCATAGATTTAAAACGGCACAAGGGATGTTTATTTTATGTTTACTGTTTGAAATCAGATATACTACAATCCTGCCATAGTTTGTTCAGACTCTAATAAAGAAGGTTGGTTTTATTTTTATCGTCATAAAGATGGCGATGAACGAACTAATAAAATGGAGATGGAGCCTCTGAAGTAAGTTACATCTGTTGGTTTGTCCATGTTGCTCTAACAGATGTAAGTAGCATTTAGATGTTTAAAATCCTAGAGCTCTGCGTATGTTTAAGCCTTGTAATTGATCAACACTATGAGGTTTTCATCATATGGTTAAAAAAAGGAGGGATGGAAAAAGTAGCTCCCTTCCAGCCCTCCTAATCCCCCCATTATTGGCAGCTTTGCTCAAACTTGGAAGCAAAAACTCTCGCCTCAGATTCTCCATGAATGTCAGTCTGTACCTTGACTAGACCATTCTGACATACCTTAATATAAAAGGGAAAAAAAATTATTTTTTATATATATTAGTGCTGTCAAATGTTTAAAAATATTAATCGCAATTAATCCCATATTAATCAACAGTTAAATTGAGATTAATCGCAAATCAATTGCATATTTTATCTTTTTATTTTCGAAGTGTAAAAGCCTATTTTGGCATTTTAAAAACGCAAAAAATGACATGTAAAAAACATGCTTATACAAAAAGTTTTTTTTAATTATAATTTTGTAAGCACTTTTAAGAAATTAGAATAAAAATATCATTGTTTAAATTCTGGCCAATAATTATTCAAAAATTGTAAAAATTAAGTGTTATACTTCCATCAAAACTGAACAAAACTACACAACAGTAAACAGTTCTTCAAAGTTCTCCGTAAACTTAAGTTTTTTCTAAAACATAGGACAAAAAAAGATGTATTGTTAAAATAAAGTTCACATTACGTTATGAAATACAGACTTAATTAAAATAAAATTAAATTACTCACAAAATAATAAATAAATCAAACGAAATTACAATAACTGGCTTTTGCAGTCATCTAAACAACATAACATTTTACATGTCGAACATTTTCAAAATGCTTAAATATTCCTTTGCTCTGAACAGGAACTGCAGCAGCAGCGCAGTCCACATGACTTAGTTCATTTCTTTGTCTTGTGGCAAATAAAAAAATAAAAAAAGAATCCTCCAAAAAATACAGTTTTCCCTTCTAAGATCAGAACATATGTGATAAATGGAGCGAGCTTAGCTTGTGTGTGCTTTACTTCGCCGTCAGCAGCAGGAATAATAAAGCGACCTGCCTGCTGGTTAACAGTAGCTGGAGATGCTTGGGGTTAATGTGTGAGTGTCCCTAAGTGGGGATCATGCAGATCAGCAGTAGCTCCTGTGAGGCCCCATGTAGGTCAGGTAGTTACATTTTGACATGGTCTACACTCTCCAAGGACGCTGAGCTTCATGCAAGTACAGTCTTGAGCCTTGAGCGCTCATTAAATATTAGTGAAACAAGTTATAACTCATTTGAAACAGTTTCAGCTTCGAAGAGATTTTTTTTTTTACAAATGCAGCTGAAAGCATAAGAAAAAAAACAAACGATTTAGAGCCTCGGCTCTAAAATGAGCGACGGGGGAAAAAACCTAAGAGCTGCTGGTTGCTTGAGAGGATTCTGCTCTGCACCTAGCAGGGAACAATATATGAAATTACATTTAGTATCATCATATGACATGCTGAGGAGTTAATTAGGCCCATTAGCCTGTCGGCTTCAGTGTTCCTAATCTATCATGGTACACGTGTTTGCCATTTCCTGCTTCCTTTGGAGGGCTTCACACAGTATCCTCTTCTTCACAGTGGGTTTAGGTCCACGGTGCTGATCCATCTGTCCCGTCGCTCGCTTATCGATTACACGTGATGTAGATACGAATCCAAAGGTTAATTTGACAACAATGCCACCGCTGCCTTCTCTTTCCTCTTTCTCCTTAAACTGCACATTTCCTCCTCTGCAGGGGTTTGGCCTTTGAGCTCCCCTCCTCTTCCTCCTCCTTGTAAAGCAGCTTGTGCTACATTGATTCGCTGGTGTCAATACAAGCAGCGTTTTCAAGCTCTAATTTTAGCCGCACCGCTAGAGGATGATGTGGAGGATATCGATGCTGGATGTCGAGAGTCGTGACGCATTCTCGTTTCAGAAATATGCCATTTGAGCGTTTAGGTGGGGGAATGAGGCGTGTGCTCCGTTTTGACTGAGGCTGTAATACTGTTGAGGCTGGGTGGGGGCTTTCCTGTGGGAAACATTAACTTCATACACGTTATGAAGGATAAACCCAGCAAACACATTCTGTCCCTAAGGAGAATCAGGCAGTCTTAAGCCTGCAGATTTACATTTGTGTGTGTGTGTACCTGCATGTATACACTTACATATGTACAAAGGAGGGGATTCGGCTGGATGCCAGAGAGCAGGGTGGGTACACAGTGTTTCTGCACATCCTCCATTCCCGCAAGTCTGTGCTTGTTTCTATTTTTTTTCTCTTCTTCCCATTAAGTAGGTTCTGTGAAAACATGCCTCCTTGAAGATGATTTTGCAAATCCACACAGACTGTGCCTCCATTTATAGAGCGGCTGCCTTTGTGCTCCAGTGAAATGCGGCGCTGATTATGCAGGAGTTATAAAAAGACAATGGAATATGGCGGGGAAGCTGTCAAAAGGCAGCTCCGAATGAAAAGGGAGGCTTTAATAGCTTATTCCTGCACAGCTGAAATGATGCCTTTGGAAAGTATTTGCATCCTTTATTATCACAAACTTGGTCCTTTTACTGTTACAGACTATTGCATCTGGAGATGAAGTCTGTATAAGTCTTTGCAAAATAACGAGCTCTGATTGGATGAACCTTTGAAGATGTGATTTTTCAGTGGTCTGGACTTTGACTGGACCATTTTGACTTCTGAACATCTTCCCTGGTCTGGTTTTCATAAAGAGCTTTACTAAAGCCTCTGTGACCACTTTTCCTCTCCATGGCAATGAAAGGGCTCCCCACAGCATTAGGCTGTGTTCACCATGTTTCACTATGCTTTGCTCATTTTCCATTCATATGTCGGCCAAAAAATTAACCTTTGGGATCAAGCAGCAAGATCATTGTCTGTGTTAGTCATTTAATTGATGTATCCCCTATAAACAGTTCTTGCTACTGTTTCAAAGACAAAGTGTAGTCACCAATCTTTTTTTTTTTAACCTGCACATGAAGTAAATGGAGCATTGACTGGTTCTTCGTATTTTTTTTTTTTAAGACCTTTTGTGGCGGTAGATAAGGTTGTTTTCAAATGGAAGTATTGAATTACCCAAAACTAAGGAAATTGGAGCCAGTGGATGGGTGCAGCCCAGTGCATAAATAAAAGTTGTCCTGTTTACAGACTCACCCACCTGATATCTAGAGTTACCCATGCTCCCCATACCTGCTTCTCTGATTAATGCTCTAGTTGCAAGGACGACCGTTTTAGTAGATTTGGTTTGTTTATCCTTTTTGATTATGATGGGTTAACGGATAACTGGAATGTGTTTAAAACTTGAGACATAGCTTTATAACCAAGTTATACGTTAAACATCTTAACTTAATCCCTGATCTCTCTGTTTTGCTCCATGGTGTTCCTGATTAAGGCCTTCACAAAAATAGCTGGATTTACATTCAGATTGGGCGATTTGATGAATCTATGGACCCTAAACAATAGATTTAATGCTATTGCTGTTTTTAATTGGACACACAAACTCCCTCCAGCTGCAGCTTTTCCCCCCAGTGCCACTATACAACAGTGATTTGTCTACTTAAACTTGAGACAGAAAGAAATAACTGATCCAAACCAGAGACTAGCTATTTTTTTTGTTGTTGTTTTTTTTAACATCCTAACCAGAACCAGAGAGGCAGTTGTTTTTGTTTTGAAAGGCTGCTCCGTCTGTTACAGATTTGATTTTAACACAACTAAATTAACATAAAATTGAAAAACGAAAATTCTCTCCTTCATTGAATCTGTGTGCTTTCAATAAAAAAAAAGTCTCCACCCCAGTTTTCAGTCTCTTTTGCAATCGATTTTCGGAATTCATAAGAGCAATTTAATAATTATCAAACTATAATGTCTCATAATGTAGTCAGAACAACTGGAAAATAGGAAACTATCAGCACTGGATGAACTTATGTTTTTGTCAACTAAAACAAGTGTGTTTACCCTATAGGTTTTGGCAGTGTGTGCAGGGGGTTAACAATATTACCAGCAGTTCAGAAGATGCACTCTGAGATTTTGCTTGTCTTTGCCCACAAAGTCACCTGCACAATGTGTTGTCCGTCGCCAATATCTGTAGGAAAAATGTAACATCGCCCAACCTTAATTTACACTGAAATTTACAGGGTTTTTTTTGTGTTTGCAGAAGGGACAGCAGTCTGGTGAAAGAGGAGATCAAAGCTTTCCTGGGAAACAGGAGGATTTCTCAGGCAGTTGTGGCTCAAGTAACTGGTTAGTAGCACTGGAACTCACACTCCCACAGATTAATGGTATTAATGTTCACTTTTCTTGTGCTTCTCAACACTCAACTTCTCTGACACCCAATTTTTAAGAAATAGAGCCCAACATGGCTTCGATATTGCTCTGCTGAAATCAAACTGTGAATCAGAATCACTTAACTTCTTGTATAATCAAAATTTTCTACACCTCTCCATGGGTTTAAAGGGTAGAGGAACACCAAAATCTGCTAAACAGTCTATCTCAAGGCTTTAAAAAAAAAATAAAAAAAAAAATGAATAAGGGTTGAATCTCGGTCACACAAGAAAATCAGAGGGTGGTTTAGGTTGACACACAAGCTATGTAAGGAAACCTAGGCACTTGGAGGACATATGCAGATCCCCCAACATTGACCCACAATATGGCGTCCCGGGGTGGGTCAGAACTACCAATCCGTCACTTAACCACTTGTAAGAAATTGATATCTAGTGATATATCAGAGATGTTTTGAATTTAAGGATAAAGTACTTATTCTTTGCCTTTAAGAGAACTTTCTCATCCTTCATTGTTGTTTAACAGCATATGCACATTTTAATTTCTACAGCTTATCTGAACTCACATCTACAGTTTTTCTATTTACGAACAATGGAGAGTGTTGTCATTTTCATGGTATGTTCACTTTTTCTGAGAGAGGGATTCTAAAAGAAAACTTAAAATATAACTTGATGTTTAAATAAGTGATTCTCATTTATATAGCATGAAATAAGCATTAGATAAAATAAACGGGGATGTAAAAACACTTTTGCCACAGTAGTTGAAACTCATTTTTAAAGTACTTGGCGTTCATAACCGCTCTGTTGTAAAATAAATAAATAAAATAAATGTAGAATTATTTAATAAAATGTGGTAGCCCAATATCTCCTTAGAAAGGGAACTTTGATATCTTCTATTTTATGATTTAATTCTTATGCCTGCATCAAAGTCTACTTTCTATAACTTAGTACTGTCTATAACTTAGCTGCCCTGGCTGTGAGTTTAAGGTTGTCTTGTTGGAAGACCCAGCCATGACCCATCGTCAATACTGAGGGAAGTGGGTTGTTGCTTAAATTTGGGCAGGATGCAAGCACCCCCAAATTATGTTTCCACCCACCATGCTTTATAGTTGGGATGATTTTCTTAGGGTTGTACTCTCTTTGCCTCTGTGGAGTTTGTACCAGAAGGTTCTGTTTTGCTCAGTTATGCCTCCTCTGGATCATCCAGATGTTCAGAGTCTAGAACTGAGGAGGTGGTTCTGATGTGCACTGCAGGATTTTTAATCCATGCTGTTGTCCTTTGAAACCATGGTTCCTATCCTAACAGGTGGATGCAAATATTTATGCAGTTTTTTTAGATTAATTAGTTCATGTGATAAAATGAAAATTGACTTTTAAAAATACGATCTAATTTCCTGATTCTGTTTAACACATCTGAATAAAATTAAAGACCCCTCCATCCTTTGCATGTGGGGAAACTTGGAAAATTGGTATTGCATCAAGGCGGTTTTCCCACTTTACGGTGTCTAAAAGCTGATGACAAATAAGATTTATACATAATAAAAATATAACATAATTATTTCAAATGAGAGGTATTCTTTGCAAATGAGTGGAGATGATGGGCTGTATCTCTGATTGCTGCCTGCGGTTGGAGATGGAGTGAAATCAGAGCTAAGACCGGGAGAAAACACTTCACCCTCATTCATGTTCTCTGCTTTGCCCCTTGGGTCTTTCCTTGTGATTATCTACACATTGTTCGGCTCTGACTCGCAGTAATTCGATGTGTTACTGCTTTGATTTCCAGGCATCAGCCAGAGCAGGATCTCCCATTGGCTGCTGCAGCACGGCTCCGACCTGAGCGAGCAGAAGAAGAGGGCTTTCTACCGCTGGTACATCCTGGAGAAAACCACACCAGGTACTCGCAGCTTCATAAGAGCCTCGTCAGAGAGGTGCAGATTTCACATCCATCACATAAAGAGAGGTTGATGAGGAATAGGTCACGTCATGGTGAAAGTGGTGTTTGTCTCAGTATCTGCTTCTTGGCTCATTCAGTGAAGTGTTTTCTGCATGGCAGATGCCGTTTCCCATGTTTAGATTAGCCTTTACATACCAGACGGTACAAAATGTCTTCATATAACAGGAAATGTTTTCCAAGAGTCACTTTTTTTCTTTCTAGCTAATAAAATCTCACAATTAAAGACGGTTGAGGTTTAATAACTTAAATCAACTTGTCAACATTGACAGCATTGCTCCAGCATTTCTGTATGGATTTGAAGTTATTGAGACTTTTTTTTGAGGGTGGCACTCTTTAGCATGTTCAAAAATGTATGACTAACTATTTAACCAATTATTTATCAAGGAAGATGATGGAAAAAATCCAGTTTTGAGAGTGCTGGAACTGAAATTAAACATATAAGCATATATGCAAGTTCTGCTCAAATGTTTCTACACAGTTTCCTGATAACAATAGATTTTAATCTCATGTTACACCATCCAGTTGCCCTGTCAGTACTGTTGAAGTTTCCCTCCCCTCTTGTTGCTGAATGCTTTTTTTTTATTTTATTTTTTTTACTGACTCTGTTATATTATTGACCTTAAAAATAGAGAGAGTATAACACTGACTGTGATACTCTTTGTGTCTAAATATTCTCACTTTAAGCTTCGTTTTCTTAATTTGCTTCACTCTGCTTAAAAAAACAACATTTAGATGGCCCTGAAATGCCCCGATAAATGTGCAGCTCAGAGTATGAGGAGGTTTTTGGTGTAAAATTAAACCAAAGTTTTATAAAAGATGTTGCTTGAAGCCACTAAAACTTCTCTGGGATCTCTTAAAATGACTTAAAACCAAAAGCTGGAAGAACCAAAGTAAAGCAGTGGTGCCCCTCCCCAGCCTGCTGCTAAGCTCAGTCAGGACTAGCATACATAAAGACAAATGTATCTATTCTTAGAAGCCATGGTGGTTCCACCCATCACTCTTATTAAGGCGACACCTTTCTAAAACTGTAGTGGGCAAACTATCTGCAGCATCATCTACCAGTTAGTGGCTGATGGTTTGTTACACGTTTCACTCTAAAAGGAGCTGAAATTTATAATCTTAAAAAAAGGGAACTTCTAGATATGTTTAGCAGGTGGTTGATCACTATTACAGTATTCCTATTAATATTTCTTAATAGAGGAGCAGCACTAGGAATAACTTGCATTACTGTGTTGAATAAAAGCTACTAGAGATCAATTGATACATTTCCTGGCCAATATTGTTGGCCATACCTCTACAGCATATGTAGCGCATCGCATTGCTGCTCCCGCTAAGGGCAGTGGTGGTCTAGTGGTCAGGGCATAGAGCTTGGAATTCTGAGGTTCTGAGTTCGAGCTCCACTCCCACAGACTGACGCTCTGAGCAAAGACCCCTAAACCCCGATTGCTCCCCAGACGCCCCACGATGGCAGCCAACTGCTCCACAAAGGGATGGGTTAAATGCAGAGGTACATTTCTCCAATGTGAGATCAATAAAGTTCAATTATAATTATTATTTGCAATCTGTTTTTAATTTATTGTATAACTTGTGCTTTTTTTCGTTAAAACTGACAATTATTATTGTCTCATCACACGCAGACATATCCACCAAAGTTTGACCGATGCAGGCCTTTTTAAACAGATACTGAAATTTTTTGGATAGCATTCTAAACGATCCCAGAGATCTGCTACCATATTCTGCAAGCAGATCATCCATCCCCCTAAAATACCATAATTTGTGGGGATGGATGGAGGACGTGCTTCACATGATCTTAAGGCATGGCTGCCGATCGCACTAGTAAATGTATTGATGGAGCTTCAGTACGTACCCCTCAATCAGGGCTGTTACAGTCTAATGATGCAAATCCAACTGTTTACGTGGATCACGTATCTGCTTTGGTGACTGCGCCCCTCCAGTTACCAGATCTGTATTTCAGTTTGTGTCCCACAAACACACCTTCAGACAGACTGCTCTCCTCTGACTGATCAGTGACTCTGCTGCTCCAGGTGCTACTCTGAACATGCGGCCTGCTCCGCTGCCTCTGGAGGAGATGGAGTGGAGGCAGACCCCGCCGCCCCTCGCCACCGCTCCAGGAACCTTCCGGCTGCGTCGGGGAAGCCGCTTCACTTGGAGGAAAGAGTGCCTGGCTGTGATGGAGAGGTGAGTGGGGAAGGAGGCGCCGTTCATAAACCGTTTCCTCCATGGTTAAAGGCATCTGGACGGTGATGCAGTTGCTCCAGCCTGTTGATTGTGTCCTCGTGGTAAATTACTGGATATGTCCTTTACAGCTACTTCAACGACAACCAGTATCCAGATGAAGCCAAAAGAGAGGAGATAGCTAATGCCTGCAACGCTGTTATTCAGAAACCAGGTGAGCTACTTTGACTGGAGCGCTAATGGTGGATGCTAATCTATGCTAACGGCTTTATTCTAACACTCTGGATTCAGCCGTCTTAGTGGGACTTCCCAGGCTCCCATCCTTCAGCTGCAGATCAGACGCTGAAGGATCAGGGCAGCCGCACAGAACGTTTCAGCGCGGCATCCTGGAGAAAATGTGGAACAAAAGGCAGGTGCCAGGAAGCTGGTGCTGCTCTATAAATATAATAAATATTTGACTTTAGAGACTTGGTGAGCTCTACTGAGTTAACCTCTGGTAATAAAGGCATTTTGAATATCAGCAGAAAGCTTTTTCTATTTTTAGCTGGGAAAAGTAAATAGAACAAATAAGTCATAGAAAAAAACAAATCTAGAAAGGCAAGAAAAATAAAAAAAAATGGAGGCAGAGATGGCGGCTGCAGCCATTTCCTGTTGCACATTGATTCAGATTCAGAGCCCTCACCTTTGCTTTCCATTCTGTTTTGTTTTTAACAGAATGGAAATCAAAGGTGAGGGCTCTGAATCTGAATCAATGTGCAACAGGAAATGGCTGCAGCCAGATTGGCTGCCTCCATTTTTTTTCTTGCCTTTCTAGATTTTTCTTTGTTCCCCCCCATCAAGAAGTCTGTTTTTCAGTGTTCAGAAGTTATGGTGATTCTCCTCCCCTTAAATTAACCACATGACTCCAAATTGGCCCTCTAGAAAAATGCATCAACAAAAATCAGCACAAGTCTTTTTTTTTTTTTCCCCTTTAAAATGTAAATGTTTCTGAGCAAAGACTGTTTTATTCTGCCATCCCTGCCAGCTGCAGGCCTCTCTGGCTTCATTTTCACTTTAAATAATTAGGTGAGAATAATAATGATTAAAAACGAATCTTCTTTTTCTGTGACTGATATATATACATACAGTTTTTGTACCTGAGAACTCGAGTATTCATAAGTTTTACTTTTAGTAAAAGAGGCAATTACTTGGCTTTTACAAACGACCCAGAATTTAATGTTTACTTATCGATTCTGCTTTAAGGAGTTTTTTTTTTTGCGGTTTTTATAGAAGGAGGATCTGAATTCCAATAGATTTTAAGGTGGTCAGTTTCTGGGACACAAATCCTTTCTCTAAACAGTATGTTCTCTCATGTCTGATTTTGAAGAGCAGCTTCAAGAAAAAATTAGACGCTTCCTGAAGCTTTGAGTGATTTGAAAATAAAATACAAATTAAAAAATAAATGCTTAAATTTCTTCCACCTGTGATTCTTGTCTTTTCCTTTTTTTAATTAAATCCTTAAGTTGGGAGTTTGATACTAATTGAAGATATGAAACAGAAAATAAATGTTTCACCAAAAGGTTATTTTACTGCATAACTTTGGTCATTGCGTAGAAAAGGAGAAAATGTTGAAACCCAAACATTCTCCTTATCGATGATTATTGCCATGGACATAGGAAGTCAGATTTAAATGTCAAATCATTCTGGCTTAAACATGAATATAAATTTACTCTTTATCAGACGATATTATCCCAACATTTAGAAAATTTCTCTTTTAAAAAAAAAACAAAAAGTTTTTTTCTTTTTCTTTTTTTTCTTCACAACCAAACTGCTTGCGAACCTTCCACCACAACAATCCCGCCCCTTGATAATCAACCAATCACATTCACTTTATTCACTCGTGTAAAGTCGGGCACCACTCAGGAGAATTCAGAAATGCAACGGTTGGAACAGCTGTTTCCCTACGACTTTAAATCGGGGCTCTGACAGTGTTTGTTTCTCCACAGGGAAGAAGCTGTCGGACCTGGAAAGGGTGACCTCCCTCAAAGTCTACAACTGGTTCGCTAATCGGCGCAAAGAGATCAAGAGACGAGCTAATATTGGTAAAGAAGGTGGCAGAGCATGCGTGTTCTCTGATGCCATTTTAAACATTTAATAGCTGTTATGTGAAGAACCAGATTGTCATCATTAGACTGATGATCTGCCTCTTCTTCTAAGAAGCAACAATCCTGGAGAGCCATGGGATCGACGTGCAGAGTCCAGGTGGACACTCCAACAGCGACGACATCGATGGGAATGACTTCTCTGAGCAGGTAGAGCAAGGCGCTCCGTTTATACGTAGATCAGTTCAGGACCCAAAGCACGGCAGTAGATCTCAGATCAGTGCCAGGGCGTTTAGAGCTGCGCTCAGCAGGAATAAACCCATGAATATAGAACTGAGGGCTGCAGCCTTTCAGCTGTAAAACTCTGCAGTCAGCTCTGACTAAATATAGAGAAAGCTGCTTCCTGCAGCTTGATGCATCGGCCTCATTAACAAGCCTCTGTTTCTGGAGCGATTTGACTGTTTGACGTCTCTTCCAGGCCTGTGACCTCCCCTATTTTGACAAGAGACCCCTCAGCCGACCGTTTGGCCTTTACCGACTGGAGCCCACCTCACCTACACAGGTAACACAATGATAATAGGGCTGCTGTAGGAGCTGGATTCACACAACAGGAGGGAATAGATGCTGACTCCTGATTGGCTCAAAGAAAAATGTAAAGAAAAGAGATTTATGGTAAAATTTGATGTAAGGCTGAAATAATCTAATCCAGATTAGGGTTAGTTAAACACAGGATAAACCTCTGAGGTTCTTGTAAAAGGTGGTACTTCTTTGAATCAAATGTATGCTCTAAAGCCGGACATACACTATGATTATTTATTTTTGTGCTTTTTTTCCTTTTTGGGCCGATTCTCCAGTGGTGCGAGAATCTTGATCGGGCCGACTTTCAGCCTGATCGTGCGTCGTTTAGAGTCAGCCATGTCTTTGTCCAAACACGTCATCGCCTTTTCTTTTTAGGACTTGCAGCACAAAATTGCACAAATTACCAAGGTGACATGTTTCTCTCCAGTGAGCTTCATATTTTTCTTCTACTTGTTTGGCTTCCGGATAGATGAGTCAGAGTAGTGCCATCTCACTGCGGAGCTGAGTGTGACGTGGTTTTTAGACGTAGAGTGTGAGCAGGTAGATCGCATCAGAGCATCTGGTTGCACCGTGTGAGAACGTGCATCGTGAGCTGTTAACTTTTAAATCCCGCGGTTTCGTTGTACAGTGTGAGCTGTAGCTGCGTAATCCGACTCCGCCAGATGGATTTGCTCCACATATCCATCTGGAAATCTTCCGTTGTAGTAATTTTGGGAAGGGGCGAAAATACTGGTTAGCTGATTGGCCTATGTTGGTGATAGACGGGCCAAATAAACCAATCAGATCAACGAAGCATATGACGTACTAACAGAGCGACGACGAAAACACAACCACAAGCCAATTGATAGATCAAATTCTTGCCGAAACCAGTTGGGAGAAGAGCAAAAACATCTTTTCCTCTGAGTAAAGCCTCCAGAGCAGTGTTTTGCTCTTCTTTCAGTGAAGAAATACTCTGTAATTCTGATAAAACTTGCTCGATAGCCACGCTAACGCTAGTTTCATCGGCTGAAGCCGCCATGTTCTTTAGACTGAACTGTCGCGCTTCTCGTTGCGTCACACCTCAACCCGCCTCAAAGCCAACGCTGATTGGACGTTCGTTTGGTGAACGGCTTCAAATTTTCTTTAACGGAGAGTCTCCAGACTGATTAGCGAGTGAAACCTTGAAAGCTTGCGAGATCAGGATGGTCTCACGAGGCTAGTAGCTGCGTGCAACGATTGAAAATATCGTACCGTGTATGCCTGGTTTAAGTTTCACCTAAAGAGGATCCTTGTTTCCTTTCCTTCCTGCAGGACGACAGCGCAGCTCACAGCGAGCACCAGGACCCCATCTCCCTGGCTGTGGAGATGGCCGCCGTCAACCACACCATCCTGGCGCTGTCCAGAACCGGAGGCGTTCCCAACGACATCAAGACGGAGTCACTGGAGGACGAATGAACTGCTCAGGAACTGGGACGGAGCGAGGGAACAAAGCAAGGCAGAGGAATGGGATGGTGGGTTTGATAAAGATCAAAATGATCCTTCTTAGTAACAAACGAACAAAAAACCTTCAGAATCTGCTCCCCCTCCTCCCAGAGCCTTCGTGTAAACAGTAACCACCCCTAAACCCTGTCCCTGTTCTACTCCATGTATGGACACAGCTGGTGGAAAAAGGAGGAGGAGCCAAGCAGCTGATGGTGGCTCCTCTCTGGGACCGGGTCTCCCAGGAACTCCTCTCCCTTTCCAGCACAGGATACCTCTTCAGTTTTCTCCTCTTCCTTCCCTCAGCAGCCTGGTCGTCTGAGCCGCTCCTCAGCCTCTCACCTCAAACCTCAGAAAAATGACGCTCTGTATATATAAGGAATATACCTACAAGGTTCTCAGTCACCTCATGAACGCTACCTACCTTGATACCGACGCCCCTCACCTGCGTGACACGAGGAGCCTGCAGCCGGCCGCTCTGGGAACGCCGGTGAAGAGGGTTCCTCCTCTTCCTCTGTAGTGGTCATCCCTCAGCAGCAGCTTCTCTTTTCCTTGCTTCATGTCTGAGAAGTAGCCTTAACTTCCCATAGACGGCTGCTTTTTATTTTCCAACCGCACAAATGCAAACCGTCTGCACAGATTAGGAGGGACGATTCGGTCCTTAAAGTAAACATTTCAGTCCAGCTATAGCAGTTTGTTTTCCTGTCATTCCTTTTAGCTGAGATTAAAACAGCAGTTTGGCTTTTTTTCCTCCTACCTTTAAGTTGATCTACCTTGTAACCCCCGCGAGCCGTCCAATAAGGACGCGGGGCTCTACCTTCCAGATCATCCATATCAAAGGAAGCGTCTCATGGATCCGCCGGTGAACCCAAAATGATCTCTGCTCTCTCCTTTGCTCTAGTTATCAGCGACCTCTCTCACACCCATGCTAGGTTTGACACTACAGCAGGCCTGTATCAGTAACGGTAGGTATCTGCAGGCTAATATAGCTACCCCTAAGCTAATTACTACTTCTGTGACGCTGCCTCTTTATAATAAGAATGATAATACTGTAAGCTGTGTGCTTTGTTTTTATACAACAGGTATCAAATTAGACTGAATCCACACTGGAGATGAATATCAAAAAAAATATACATTTATTTTCCTGTTTCACCTACAAATAACCTCAAAAGGAAGCATTGAAGGGAATCTGATTTGGTTTCTTTTTGTGTTGGATGAGAGTTCTCCAAATCCATCAGCCTCCATTTAAAAAAAACAAAGATGAGCCCACTTTGTGCTTTTAGATGCATAAGCTGGGATTCATTTCTGCTCTTCTAAAAGAAAACGGCTAGCCTAGCATTGTCCAAAAGTGCTGTTTGAGCCGAAGTACAAAGCTCTGGGCTAATGGACCATCTTCCAGTGCTAAACCAGAGCATGTGGGGCTAATTCCAGCTCTGACTGGGTGAGAAGCATCGTACACCCTGGACCAGGGGGGAAAAAAAGTAGTTATTTAACTTGACTGTCATGTTTTTGGACCGTAGGAGGTACTAGTACCTGGGGAGAACTCACTCATGTGCAGGGAGAACATAAAAACTGTTTATAGTTTCTATTTATAAACCCTGGCCCATCTAGCAAGCAACAATGCTAATTGGGCTTCCTGTTATTATATTTTGGGTAGAAATGAAAAACGAAAGGGTTTCCCCTCTATTTCTCATCATCTGACTCTACTCAAATAAAACTCCCATTCTAGACCTTTCCCTGAGCAACACGCTAATTAATCATTAAAGCTGATTCTTGGTTTATAGATGCTGGAAAGGATCCTCGTGAAATCGAGCATGCTTTAGGTAGAGCAGTTAGTTAACAGATGGGAAAAATACCCAAAACACAGTCCTATTATGGAGCCATTTTACAGATCAGATGGTAAATATTGACATATCACCTTATCGCACTATTATTCTAGGTAGTCAGCCCATGCCTGTTTTACTGATGCTTTGAGATGTCAGGCACACATGATGGGCAAGTGTACTTAGGCCATAGAATGGACAGCTATACTTCTGACACAACTCTACCCCACCTTCACTTTTGTTGCTTGCTGTCTGCCATCTTGATCCAACTGGTCACTGGTATTTGCTGCTTGTCCGTCGCACTGTCAGTGCACAGACATAAATTGTTTCGAGGTGGCCATTTCCTTTGTCCACAGAGTGGAGCTGTGCTGACAAGGGTAAATGGTGTGTACAGATGGTGAAAGGAGAGGTACAACCGACAGTACCTGGTGTACGGGCAGAAGCGTTCCCTCAACCATTCGTCTTTGCGGTTGAATATCTCCAGAACGGAGCGGGCTTGTGCATCGGGGGGTCCTCCGTCACGTCTGAAGGAAGCTGGGTCCTCTCCATCAGCACCTGCTCTATTTGGTCCCTCAAATGTCAGGCTGTGGGGATTTATTTCATTTGATGCAGATAGGATACCCAAAGGCTACTAAATCTATACCAACTCCAGCTAAATTCAGCTGTTTTTAACAGCTTGAGCTCATTATTCTTAAATGTTGCACTTTCAAACCCGTCTGACAAGCTGATATCGGCTGGGTAATTAAATGGGTTTTCTGCTGGGGTAGGAGGACTGGTTGACATAGTCAATTTAAATTATATATAAATATTTTCTAGTGATGAATGTGTAATTATGGAAGCTGCAGGTGGGCTCCCACAGTCAGCTGACTTCTAGTACGCAGCAACATCGGGGGGGGGGGGGATCCAGGAAGGTGAAGCTAGGCTACGGTAAAAATGTTAACCCTGTTCAACCAAATATTTAAAGTAGAAAAACATTGTTTAGTTTACCTACACTGCTGTAGGTATTTTTGTATAGTTACAGCTAATACTTTGCATGGATAACAGATTTAAACCTGACCTGTGAAAATACTGCTGCTCTTGGAGGCCCCCAGTAGGTTTGGGAGGGCTAGTGCACCTGGTTTCACTTTGACAATTTTGGACAAAGACGGGCTAGCTGTGTGCTTTAGCACCTTTATGTTAATAGTGTAGCTTCTCCCGCCATGAATAAAGGTGGAGCACCAAGTTCATGAACTAATGGTTTTGGAGAACTGTCGTTCGTCAAGCAGGACAGAACAAAACATATCTGTGATTCCTCGTGTCTAAAAGGACTTTTGATGAACCAGGTTACATGTTACAACACTGAAAGTGTTCCAACTTTTTTTTTTTTTTTTAAATACATCCTGTACTCATAACTCCCCATCCTGGCTTCCTGTCTAAAGGCTTATTAAAGCTTCTGTCTGTTAGAAGCTACAAAACCTTCACTCTGAAACTGTTTAAAAGGAAAGGGTAACAAAAGTAAAATTATAAATGTATTTATGCTCATTTTTTATGATGTACAGATGAATGAAATGCTTTGAAATGAAACATGCTTTATAGTTAAATTAATGCTTTCTCATTTGACCAGATTTATTTTATTATTTTAGCGTTTAGCCGTCTCCATCCTCTGAGCAACAGCTTCATGAAAAGGCCAACAATGATGCACCTTAAAAAAAAAAAAAAGTATTGATAGTATGAAATGTAAACTCCACCTGGAGTTAATGTATAAAGGTGTAAAGAACGGGGCGGATGTATGATCACTCTGGTGCCGCTACTTCTCATTAAATGATTTTCCATTAAGTTGAATGGTTGAGCTTAATGTGAGGAGCACTGCAGAGTGCATTTAGACATATTTTCTCCCGTTCAGATGGCCTCGCTTTGATTAACGGGTATGAACTGGTTTCAACCAGTTTGTTTCCGATCTTGACCAGAACGATGGCCCCACCCAGTTCATCCCATCATAGCTAAGAAGACTGAATGCTGTATCGATCTCAGTTTAAGTTCAGAATTACTGTATTGCCCATTTCAGAATTTAGTGCCTTTTTTGGACAGTAGACTGTTCTGTAATTAAGATGTAGTATATAAACATTTTTTGTACAGTTTCTTTGTCCATTTTTTTATCTTGTGTTTATTTTAGTATGAGATATATATATATATAAAATGTACAAGAGAATAAAGCTATATCATGATATCCATTCGACTGGTTACTTAAGAGAAAATTGAACATCTTTATTTTCAAATAAATAAACATTCTAAGCAGTCAGCTTGATCTTAAATGCATAATAAAAAACAAAACTAAATAGACCAGACAATATTCCTTAAATTTCCCCATTCCAGACATGTTCATACACAAAAAAAACCTAAAAGAATCAACACATTCTTGGCAGGAAGACGAAGACATTTAAAGCTGATGCATTAATATTTGTATAATTTGTGTGCAAATTTATCTATATTTAAAAACAGTCTTTGAAAAACCAGGAAGATCTCATGGGAAAAAGCTTCCAGGTTTGCATATGATCAAGGCACACATTTGAGCAGTAGTCAAGGCACAAGAATAAGGCTGCAGCATCAACTCGCATGCAGCAAATACACAAACGTCATCAGCAAACAGTGTAATGTAAAAAGACAAACGCACCTTATAAAAACATTGCTTTAGAGTTTGAGTTAGTCTTTCAATGTGCTCATTCCACAGTATCAAACCTTCAGCCTTGTGCCAAGTTGAGTTCTGAAGGTTCCTCAACATTCTCATCACCCTCATTTCTTGCACCTGGCATTTTCTTAAGGTTAGCCGTAGTTAGAAGAATGCGCTTTTGGTGAGGCTTTCATCGTCTCTAGAATACTTGTCTGCAAATGTCAGTAAGTGATAGCAGCTCTCAAAGCGAAGGGCAAGATCCTGAATCTTATCCTGCCCCCCCCCTCCGTCCTTTACAGCAGATCTTTCAAGAGTTCCATGATTTGCGGTTCTCTCCTCTGCCGCGGCCGGATGGAGCGGTCTCACCTTTGGCCAGAGCGGTAAGGGCTGCCAGGTTTGGACTGGATCCGGACAGGTTGGCACTACGCCGCTTCTGCTTCTGGCGTTGTCGTTTGGTTCCGCTGCGGGTAATTCTGTCAGGTCTGACGAGGACTCCGTAACCAGGGTTACAATGGAAATAGTGCTTCCCACCCACCGAACCATCATTCTTCCCTGAAAAAGAACCAACAGAGATCCTTTAGAGATTATTCTGAGAAGAATAAAGCAGGTAAGTAGGTAATAAAGTAGATCTAAGCGTTTCTCACCTGCTGGTACCTCCAGTTCAACTCCAACCCAGGTACCATCTGCAAAATCTGTGGGCCCCACGTAGCGCACCGTGCCGCTCTTATTGGTCCCCACGGTCACAAACACCCCTTCTTTCAACCAGTCAGGAAGAACACTGGAAGCAGCTTCGTCTCCCTCCTCCAAATCTGAGATGCTTTCCAGGCTCTCTGCCGGCACAGACAGGTCCAGTCCTGTGCCGAGGCTTCCAACCCGCCCCATCTGTGCTGGTTTACCACCTTCTTCTTTCACAATCTGCTGGAAGGACTTGAGGTCTGAGGACTTTACTTTCTGGATCTTGAAGGGGTTGACTGCTGTTGAACTGGACTTGGAGGGCCGAGCGGAACTGGTGGCAGAGTTAGTGGGAGAATCAGAAGGCTGTTTGGGTTGGACAAGGACACCGTTTGTATCGGAGGGATCAGACGATGATTCTCCTCGGGGTGAATTAGGGCCAGACTCTTGATTTGGTGGCGCAGTCGTAGCTGGGTTGACATTTGGAGCCGGTTCTTCAGTACCCTCAGAGGATGCACGGTCTTGTTCCAGGTGTTGTGAAGGGACAGATTCCAGCAGGACTTCATCCTGTTGGTCAGCTGTTTTAGTGGTGAGGGACCGCTCACAGGTGTCCTCATTTATATCGGACATATCAAGATGTGTTGTTGGAGAACCAGAAGGACCCGTCTTCTGGATTCCTTCTTGTTTGTTTCCATAGTTCTGTTTGGCCACTCCCTCGGTGTGGTTCTCTAAACCTTCAGACTGTTTTAGTCCGGATCCATCACTCGTGTTTGGGTTTAGTGTGAGCTGGTTTTCTGTATCTGGAGCAGCTTCTTCCTCACCCTTTACTTCCACTGACAGAGATGAGTTTGGCTCCTGCTCCCTCAGATCTGACTCTATCAGAGTCGTCTCCTGACTGAATGGATCCTGGTCTGGCTCTTTAGTTAAACCTAGACTCTCAGCTGAGAACTCCTCCGCCTCTTTATCGTCTTCCTCCAGCTCCAGGTCCCAGCTCAGTGTGTAGACGTCCGAATGCCTCGCTGCCGACATGTTGGACAACCTAGATGCTTCGCTAACCAAGCTGGGGTCCTCCACGTTTGGGATGATAGGAGGTGGGAGCGGGACGGATCTGTGGATCTCCTTTTCAGCATCTGCTGGACCGGCTTCCTGTAAAACCCATCAGAACAGTTAGCCTGACAGTGATATTTGGAGGTATCTTTGGGTCTTATTCACACTTTTTATCCTAAGGTCCTACGTTATAAAAAATATGATTAAAAACATTAACTTTAATACTTCCACTTTAATTAGATTTAATATTTTTATGTCAATTAAGACATTAACAGAAGTTGATTTATTGTTTGCAGTTCTACACAGAAGTATGTAATATTATGGTTTGGGCTTTCTTGGCTAGAAGCCATGTAGAACTGGATGATAAATAAGAGAAATACAACAGGATTATTTATGTTTTGGACAGACATTAATAAAACATTTTTAAACAATTAATTTGTGAATCATTTCAGGGATGGTCCACCAACCAAAACTACTCAAAGACCCAATAAAACACAAAAGAACAACATCTAAAGCTCTACAAGCCTAATTCTTTTCTCCATTCAGGTCAGAGTTTATGGTTAAACATAAAACTAACTGGGATCCATGGACGATGTCATAGATAATCCCAAAGACTAGGAAGACTAAAAGCCCCCAATATTAGTAGTCAGACAAGGTGGAGGCGGTGTGTTGATCTGGGCCTGTGCTGCTGCCACACAACCTGGAAAATGTGTCAAAATCCACCATCAGTTTGTGGTCTTCAGCCCAAACATACTGTACAATGTTTATGATCTCATCACAACAGCAAGAGAACCCCAAAATGATGACCTTTGACCTAAAAAAACAAAAACACACACTGGAACCAGTTCACTTTTTTAAATGGTCCATTCCAAGCCTGGGCTTAAATTTAATTGTAAGGCTGACAAGTCGCTATGAACAGACCAGTTATGCTCAAAACCCCTCAGATGTGCGTATATTATTATTAGAATTATCCTGCAAAGAGCAGACCAAATAGAAAAGACTCATTACCAGTTATCACCAATGATTGATGGCAGCTTTTGGAATAAGGTGCTAATTAGCTTTAGGGGTGAATTCCTGCATCACATCTATTCAGGCTGGTTTAGATCTCTGCCTTTACTCTATAAACAAATTCATAAAAAAAAAAACAATCCTTTCCCTGGAAGTAAAACATGACTAATGGATCTCCTGCCCCTTGGATGAAGCCATTTCAGAACTGGAGAGCTCCTTCATGGACGCCATGCAGCTCTCACCCAGAGGTTACCCATTTTTTCATTGGCTAGATGCAGGACAATGACACTCCAATTAACAGAGTTGTTCCTTTTGTTGATCTCTTAAAGAATGCCCTTTAACAAAACAAAACAACATCACATTCTGCCATTTTGTTTTTTCTTTCTTTCCATTTTTGGGAAACCACAGCGATGTTACAAAAAACTCTAGATGGAGTTTTAAAGCAGTATAGAAACTAAATCCAATGTAATTTACAAAAGGCAGAACAGACAAGCTGCTGTACCTTAGGTGCACAATGAAGCGTCATCACAGATCCTTCTTCCTATCATTAGACTTTATAATCTGCGTCTCCCAAACAATCAATATGTTCCTGCTGTGATTCGAAGTATTTTGTTTTTATTCCAAATAATCGGTTCCAATTTGTTTGATGTTCATCAGACCTGAAGCGCTGTCTGGGTTAACAGGAGGAACTCACCAGCTGCTGGTGCTTAGACATGTCCTCTTCCACACTGGCCGACTGCACCACGATGCGGGGAAGACTCTGGGACTGAAACAAAGTAGCAGATGTTAACATCTGTTCAGATAAGAACATGGAAAGGCCTTAAACCTACAGCTTTCAGCCCATCATATGAAACTCCTAAGCTGCAGTTCTATATTCAGCTCCGATCCGGCCGTGCCTGAGGCGTTTACTAAGGAATCCATTATTCCCCTCATTCCAACCATCAGCAGGAGGGACGCTGATATTAGACGTTCAAAGTGCAATTAGGATATTTGCTGCTTAAATCACGGATAATCAGAATTAACTGGCGAATCAGTCGAGATAATTGCATCCTAATGATAATTGTTTGTATTCATTTATCTCATTATAGAATTCATGTTTCATGCAACTTCCCTGATTTGCTCCCCAACCGTTTCCCCAGAGAATGAAGCCATCATTTTCTGTCTCGCCGTCGTTTGAAGCTAATAAAAATCAAAGCGTAGAGGAGAGGCTGATTGGTCTGCCCACACGCTGCACTCCACTCATCTGCAGTTTGATTTAGAGCAAAGTTTTCATCTTGAGGAGAACATGGACCTACGAATGGGACATCAGAGAGCAGGTCATAAACGTCTATCCTACCCGCCCATGGCTCTGGACCAGAAACCTGCAAAGTAACAACAGGTGAGGATCACAGCGGCTGTTTGTCCTCTGGATTCCCTTAAATATGAAACCGACAAATAAAATTCAGAAGAACACAGCTGCAGAATAAATCAAATAATTGTCATCAGTTCTACTGTTGTATATTCATCCTTTAGCAAAATGATGACGGAAGGACTCTTCCTGCCCTTCAGCACTTCTGGAATCATTTGCTGCTCTATACGTTTTACTTCTAAAGTCAGGTTTCACATTCCAGCTCAATCCTAATAATTAATGCAGACCCCGATATCCTCTAAAGGCAATTAAGTTTCCCTCAGAGAAAAGGGTCTGAATACTTTAGCACACATCACTATATCACAGTTTAAATGTATTGTTTTCCTACTTCACCGTACACCACTATGTTGGTCTTTCAGATTAGATTCTAATCAAATAGATCTATATTTGCGGTTGTGAAAGTGAAAAAGTTTAAAGGGGTGTGAATACTTTTGAAAGCTTCTTTATTCTCATGTAATGAAAGCATAAAGCATTAGTCATGCTATGAGCTGCCAAACCTGTGTGCTGACTAGATCCTCTATATGTGGACATTTTTCTACCATTCTATGTTTATAAATCTTCCTATCAGCTGTGAAACTGATCAATTAGCTGTAATCAAAGCTTCAAACTGAATCAAAATAATAACCCAGTCTGTGCGTGGACCTCAGACGCTGTACTGCCGCCGTCTGGCGGGTTTTCACTCCAACCCGACACCTCCGCTGGCGTTTCTATCAATAGGCTCCCACCATGGCTGAAGGTGCTAATCAGTCAAACCAGCTGCAGTGAGAAACGCTGCAGACCACCATGTTGCAACGAGACGTGATTCTAAGACGGCGAGCTCCTGATGAGCCGCTGAAGCTCAGCTGGGAGCAAAAACACCTCCAACCTGTGAGCTGATTACATCCCTCGCTCTGCTCCCACCGTCCTCCGCTGTAGAACTAGAGGACAGAGAACTGGATCCAGAAAAATGGGACTCTGAGGTTTAGTCTTTGATCTACAGAGTGTTGCTAAGGTATTCACACCCTGGAAGCTGAAGGGTGACGTCCCTCCCAGTCTGGAAGCCCTTTTTTTAAGCCTTTAACATTTTTAACGTGGATTTATTCCAGCAAACATCAGCTTCCCATAGCATGACGCTGCCACTGCCATGCATGCTGTGATGGTGGGTGCAGGTTGATGGTTTTTTTTTTTTTTGTTTGTTTTTTTACACTTACACATTTCTAATTAAGGTCTATATTAGAAATAATGTTAAAAACTCTACAATAGTCAAAATTGTAATTTTCTTTCTCTTTTTCTTTTTCATTTACAGGATTCAGAAATTTAAAGAATATGATTAACTGCGGTTACTATGGGATGCCTAGTGTTAGAAATCACACTTCTTTATGTAACTGATGTCCTGAAGCCTTTTTAAATGTGAAAATATTTGATTACTGTGACATGCAGACACAGCTACCCAAGAAAGGCTAAAGAAGTAATAAAGAGGCTTTTAATCCTCATATCATCATAGCGCCACAAAAATATTGTGATAAATTGGAAGTCCGTGTTGCCCAGCCTTAACTCGTCCCTTTGAGGCCTTCAGAAAATAGCAGATTATTAATGAGGGGACATAAAAAGACGACTGGTTGCAGTGGATTTTATTTAGGGCCGTCAGAATAGGAGGATTACCATCCAATGATGTGGGTGTGAATACTTTAGGAAGCTTTAAACTGCCTTTATTGTAAACCTCTAAGGTCTCCTGTTTGTCTGGGAGTCAGAGATCCACCTTTAAATCTGAAAAGGCTTTACAGACTTTAACGCTTTGATACAATTTCTGAGGTTTAATCAGATCCTCATCTACATAAGCCCCGTTTCCATGGCAACTGAACAATGACACCAGCTGCTGATCAGATGAGGAGATGTTGTAGATCTGGGCTGTGGTTTGAAACCTTGGGTTTTGGGGGGGGGGGGGGGGTGGTTTGAAACCTTGGGTTTATCGGGGGGGTTTACCTGCTGAGGGACGGCGGTCTGCTCGTGGTCCTCCTTCCCTCCAGGAAGCAGAGACTTCAGCAGCTTGGGAACGGCCCTCACTGGGGGGAGATGAGAGGAAAGCTCTGAGGAGGGGAAGGTGGTGTGGGGGGGAGGTGAGTGCTTTTATCAGGCGTACCCGTCTCTGCGTTCAGGTTCTGGGACACGCTGCTGGCCAGCGTGCGTCTGGATGGAGGAGGCGCCGCCGACAGGTCCTGATGGCTCTCCCAGCCCTGGAGGGGATCAGGAAGAGGAGGTTTCAGCTTCTCTAGCCGCTGACAGTACAGCACAGACTCATGATGTCACAAACTCAATTATCTAGGTCTTAAAATAATGATAAAATACATGAAATTAAATCTGAGGTGTAGATTCCTACTCAGCCTCTCTGATATCAGAACATAAAGCACAGCAAGTCTGGTATGGAGGGGACCAGGATATGTTCAAATATGGCGGTTCTGGACCAAATGTACCAGGGGGGCCAGGAGGGGGCAGCGTGTTTTCATGGGGGCACGGAAAAGCATGCAATAAAAAACAGGGCAAAGGATTCAAATATATTAAGAGATCTGCATGAAGTAAAATTTCTATTCAATTAGGTAAAATTAAAATTCTATGTCTTATTAGGTTAATATACATTCAGAATTTAGGAATTTTAAATATTTTTGGCTAAATTTAAGTTAAAATAACCATCTTCTATAAAATCTGTATTAGAACTCTAGAAAAAACTAAAATTCAGCTGTTAAAAAAAAAAAAAAGTAGTTTTTTATTGTTTTGAAAATAACATTTAGCGGATGAAAACTAGGATCCTATGTCAATCCCACCGAAGCTATCACCTTATTGTTTTTAAAGAATTAGTAAAACAGAATTTGTAAAGTAAAAAAATGAAAAAGATCCAAAGGGCCCATCAGTAACCATGTCTGTTCCAGCGCAGATCATCAGAATTTCTTTGAGTATAATGTCTTGAGTACAGGGTCCATAACTGTCTAGAACCGCCCCTGTGTAAACCTAACCCACTGAAGCACAGCGGTGGAAGCATCATGCTGTGCGGATGCGTCTTCCTGTTTCAGAGCTGAAGGGAAATTAAGTGAGCTTCTGATGACGTGTTTCAGATGGAGGGCAGGAGGTGAACCGATAATGGTAACCGTAGAAGAGAGCCAGAATCACAGGGATTATATATATATGTATGTATGTATGACTTGTATTTCATAGAAATCTGATTGTTTTTTTTACAGGTTTTTGAACGGCTGATTAAAGCCTCTACGCCTAGAGGAGAAAAGCTGTCAGCAGGAGTGGGAGCAGAACCTCAGCGATGGTCTACAAATGATTAATAGTTCATTCTACCTACTTAATGATAATGAAAAAGCTCAGGGAAACTTAAAAAAGCATGTTTGAGTGAAGCATCAGACATCTTGATTCTGAATGGAGAGCTTCCTACCGCTGATGAGGTGTTATTACTCCACCAAGGTCATGTTTTCAGTTGTCTGTCTGTCTGTCTGTCAGCAGGATTCCATGAAAAGCTCAGAACAGATTTTAATGATTTATTTTTACCAGATGTGCGCCTCACCGTTTTGTGATGAATTATAGGGATATTTGGTGGAACAAGCAGTTCCCCCTTAAACCAGAGGGAGGCAGCAGTGATTATTGACAGCCTCAGCTTCAGATTTAAAGAAGTCCAGAAGTATTATATATATTAAAAAAAATAAAGATAAGCCATGCCTCGCATGAGCCTCGATCAAAGAAAAATGAATGAATGAAGGTGAGAGCAGAACAGACACCAGAGGCTGCACACACACTGTACCTTATTTATTTACACATTTTAACTGAATTTTTACCAGATTAATTAATTCAAATTTGGTAATGATCCAGATCATGTGCGAGTTTTAGCTACAGGCTTGAGTCACAATATGGGTCAGAATCTGCTGCTTGGAGGAGATCTGAGTGATCTTGTTTTTTAAGGTTTTTACCGTTTTTACCATAAGAATGAATTTTGAACCTTTTTCTGTTAGAAGAATTGAAACAGCCATTAACGGTTCAAAAGGGGCATTTCTTTTCTCATAGCTACGTCACTTCCTGCCCTCCACCTGATATGTGACATCACTCTGTTGGTCTGTCACATAAAATCTAAAAGTTTAGGGTTGAAATGAAACCAAAGGAGAAAAAAATAAAGAACCTAGCATGGCAGCTCAAAGGTCGGCCGTAGTGTAACCGTTCAGGACCAGAGAGACGAGTAAAGACGGTTTCTACTGAAGTTTTTCTCTTTGTTGGGTTTGATTACTTTAGGATAGAAAGTTTTTAATAAAACGAAACATACTAATATGTTTAGGTTCTTATATAAACTGAGAAGATAAACAATATTAAAACATTTTGAGTGTTTGCAACTAAATAATTCATAATTTCATTACCCAGCTGAAAAAAAGAAAAATAAATTAGATCTTAATAATTTGCGTTTTGTCAGATTTGTAGGTCAGTGAAGAGATCTTAAAGTTATAGAAATGACAGTGGTAGCAGCAGGGAGGTTCTCACCTTGAAGTAAGCGAGCCTCTGATTGGAGGAGCAGTAGAGGTCCAGACTGCTGGCTGACAGCTGGTTAAACAGTTAGATGGAAGCATGGTTAGGAGTTAGTGAGCCCAGATACAGCGAGAAACAACAGAGCAGCACCAAGTTTAAAAGCCCACAGTCCGATTCAGCCTAATTCTGATGAGCCAACCTTCTACAGTCAGACAGGAGTTCTGGTGAAAGCTGAAGAGAACCAGAGCTAACATCAGATGTGTGGTGAAAACGGTCTAACGGGCTGATCTACTAAAAGGCATCTGGGTATAAAAACACCAGAGAATCAGAGCAAAGCTGATCTAATAACCAGCTGTGAAATTTAAATGTTCAGCTGATCAACAGAACGGGCAAAACGCCGGGAGGACGTAATGCAAATGTGACAGAGAAGTTAAATCCTAGAAACTTAACATCATCAGAAATAACTAATGTAAGAAAGTGCAGCACTGATGATTATGAAGGTTCTCTCCTCCCACAGAGTGGAAACATCTCTGTGTTCCTGACGGGTAAAATCTGTTATTCCATAAACTTATTTTATAAAATAATTACATTTTCTATCCGGTGTGTTGCTGGAAATCTGCTTCTGCAGCTTTCAACAAGATAAAAGCAGAGTTTCCTCTTCTGTTTTTTTCTGTATGGCAGTTCTTATTTACGTTCTCCTCAAACCTAAACACACTAACATCATCTTTAAATGTAAAAAATAAAACAAAACAGAAACTCTCCATAAAATGAAAAATAGAGTTTTGTGCATCTTGGAAGGTGAGAGAGTGATGCTTTCAGAAAACGGCCTTTCTAGAGTCGTAACCTGCACTGCAAAAACGATCTAGAAATCAGCAAAAATGTGTTAAATTCAGTGTATTTACCATTAATTTAAGTAGGTAAATAAGATTATGTGCCAATGGAATGAGCATTTTTACTCTTAAACTAAGATAATTAAAAAAAATACACTTGAAATAAGACAATGCAATTGTTTTTATCTTATTTATATGTCTCACTTACCTCCTCAAATCAAGAAAAAAATGCACTAATTGTAAGTTTTCAATTTTTTGCAGTGTGACTCTAAATCCTTACTCTATGGGGACCTTTCTGCTCCACATTCACACCTGTTATCTGTTGCTCCTGATCTGATCAGGCCCTTTAGCTCCTGCTAAAGCTGAAAGGTTCAGGGAAACTCAGGGAAAGCCTCGTTCTTCCTGTTCAGTACCTAAGGTGATTTGGGATCAGGTGTATGTTGAAGCCCAGTTCGAGGTCTTACCCGGTCTACGTTTGGAGAGCTCAGGCAGCGTCTGGCAGGCTTCCCTCTGACCGCCAGCTGCTCCCTCACAGTGACCTCCTGCTCACATTCACACACAGGAAGAGGTTTTGGTTCATTAAAAACCAAATGGCCGTTATTCTTTCACAGGATGGATTGAGGCTGACCGCGAATAGACACTAATCACTCAGGGTTTGAGGGAGAAGCTGGAGGACAGGCTGCAGATGGAAACAAGGTGAAGGACCAACAGAGAAATGTGAGTCTGAGCTGTGGACCTGTCTGAGTCGATCCAGGGTCAGGATGTTCTCCACAGCCAGGACGCTGCGCAGGTACTTCTCTATGGCCGCCTCGCTGTCTGCCGACTGCTCGTCCTCGGCGCTGGCAGCCAGCCTGGCCAGCATCTCCCTGTCCTCTGGACCGTGGATGTCCTACAGGAAGGAAACCAGTTAAACACCTCTGCTAACTAGATCTATGCAGGCTGCTTGTTAAAACGCAGCACCAAGCAACAGGGGTGGACCAGAGATTCCATCCAGGCTACGGGGAGAACAGGTCAACAACATTTAGAGGCGTCGAATGGAGAATTTTAAGTGACTAAGCACGGTGGAGGCAGCATCATGGTGAGGGTCTGTTTTACTGCTAACATTAGGTTTAGAGACGGTGAAACGCGCTAACATTTAGTTGCTACTGATGCAAACATTGGTCACATATCGAGCAGCAGATGCCTGGTTTCTCTGCAGCTTCACTTTATTTCTCCTTTCAATCTCGGTTTTAATTCTAGCATCTTTCTTTGTGAAGCTGTGAAAGATACTGTGTGAATAAAATGCTTTTTTTCCTTAATTGATCTCACATTGAAAAAATTGACCTGTGCATTTAACCCTTCCCCTCTGGGAACAGTGGGCTGCCATCATGGGGGGCCAGGGGAGCAGTGTGGGGTTAAGGGTCTTTGCTCAGAGACCCACAGTTGCAGTCTGTGGGAGTGGGGCTTGAACCTCATGATCCAAGCTCCATGCCCTAACCACTAGGCCTCCACTCCTCTCTTACTTAGGTTCTTAAAAATGATTTAAATGTGAATAAATCAGAAGTTTGGGATGTTTAGCATCGACTCTGTCCCAGTGGAAGTGAAGGAATGGGTTAAGGAACAGCTCTGTCTCCTGGTAACAGACGGACCTTGTTACCAGTCTAGATTAAACAGTTTCGGGTTTCTTACTTACTCCTGGGATGTTGGAGACGATTTCAAAGGTGACTCCACAGCCTGGGATGGTGCTTCGCTGAGACATCCTCTTCAGGAGGCTCTGAGCGAATCCCTGCCATGGATACACAGCTTTTATCTCTCAGCTGGTGGATCCCCTAACATGACTCTGGGTCGGCTTATCCTCCGTCCACCCACCTGCTTCCCCGTCACGTTGACACATATGCGCTTCCTGAGGACCAGCTCCATGTGTGCCGGGTGGCTCAGCTCCACCACGGTGCGGACGGTCAGGAAGACCCTCTGATCGGGGGACGCCGCTCGGCTAAGCTGAGGACACTCGTGGATGGTGGAGTCCCAGGAGGCCTCCGCCTTCACCTGCAGCACAGTCAGGTTGGTGATTCAGGAGCAGATGAAGAAATTAAACAGAAGAAAGAGGGAGGGGGGGTCCGCTCACCTCTGGATCAAAGTGTTTAACTATTTGAAGGTCAAAGAAGTCGTCTTCATCTTCACCACTGAGCACCGCGTCCAGCCCCCCCGCCAGAGGGGCCGACAGCCTGGACTGAAAATCATCAGCTGGAGGCAGGAAAACAAAAATATTTATTTCCCTAAAAATGATGGATTCATTTAGATTATTTGATGTAAAGAAAGGGAGACGAACCCACCGCTCAGATCTAGGAACAGGACAGGAATGTGGGTTTCCATTCCAGGAACAGGAACCCTGTGAATGAAACCAGATCAAACACCTGAGACGCTGCAGAGCATTTACAGACGCTTTGGTCAGCATCACATTTAAGGACCTTTAAAGGATTCTTCAGGATCAATTTCTCTAAATTCAAGGACAACAAACAGCAGCATGAACCCACTGCTACTACTGACATGTCCCCCAAAAAAGATTTAAATGGAGAAACTTTGATTAGAATCGAGGAAGTAAAGGGATCGCGCAGCTTTCATTGATATCATAATATTCATAATTGAACAGATACATTTTTAACTCTAATTTATATCAATATTCATCTATAACATCTATATTTATATGTCTAGAGATGGTGATATTAGGTATTTTGACTTGAATAATTTTCCTTTTTTTTTTTTTATTATATGCTGTTGCAGTACGACTAATTAAGGTAACCAAAGTGGGACCCCCACCTCTCTACCGGGGCTCCTGGGATGCCGCTTCCAGCTGACGGGACGAGCACCGCGTTCCTCTCCTCTGTCAGGGTCAGGCGACACTCTAGCAGCTGGGACTCCCTCTCTACGTCGTCCTCCGTCTTGTCTGCAGATAAGGACAGATGGACGACATTTTTTAACAAAAAAACTGAGCCGAGAAACTGGTTCAGACTCTGCAGGAGGAGCAGACGGGATCTTCCAGTGCAGGAAGGGTTAAGCATTATGTTTAACAATAAAACACACAGAATAAATCCACTGGTTTAGATGGACACTGGGGAATATGGGGTTAAAAAGCACAATTATTATTTACTAAAGAAAATAATGAAATCTAGAATTAAACATTTAAAAACTAGACTTTGCACAAAAATAACAAACAGTGACAAATTTAGAAAATTAAAGCTACATTTGTAAAGAGAATGGGCCTAGTTTCTATTTTTATCATAATGCTTTAATACCAGTTTTCTAGTATGTACCCCAATACGCCAGCAGAGGGCAGTACAGCAGTCAGGTCATTAGTGTTGCAGCAGGGGTCTGTCTGTCCTTAGAGATTCTATTTCTTCTTTTAGTCATGCCTCCTGTATTTAAGTCATATTACATCAAAGGCTAAAACTACAACCAAAACAAAAAAATTAAATATTTTCACAAAATAAAAAACTAAACTAATGAATTCTAAAACAAAATTAGAAATTAACAGAATTCTAAGTCAAGTAAATAAAAATAAAAATCTATGAAAATGTAAAAACTATTTAAATCTTGCTACTGATAGTTTCCATAAAAGTTTATTGATTACATGCAGAGAGATGTTTATGTTTGCATCCATTCATCCATTCAGCAGCCATGTCTCCAGAACACTTGTTCATGTTTTCTTTGATCAGCTGTCAAAGGTTTGTTTTTCATTACATTAATTTGACATTTATGATGTTTAGGTAGTTTTTAATCGTGAAATCAAGGAAAAAAAAAAAATCAGCTCCAAAAATGTGTCCAAACAAAGAAATCAGCTGCATATATTGGTGATCGGTTAGACTGATGTAAAAATAATCTGCCTGAAAAAGTAGTAATGGTTGATCCCTAATACAGACATTTAAACGTTTTATCCACACTAATCAGAAACACATTCTGAAAACAGCAATAGCTGCATTTTCATTATCAAATTATAACTAAGAAAATTAATGGGCTAAATATAAACACTGCAATTTGAAAAAAAAAATACACGAGTTATCACCTGAAGAAACAAATTTATGTGCATTTTAATCATATTTCTTATTAAATTGAAAAACCGCAATTAAAAAAATTATGCATTTCCAAAGAGCAGAATATAGACATAGCTTGACTCACATTTATAATGATCCTCAGTTCTAAAAGCAGCTCAATATAACTAGTATTGATCTAAAAGAACGACTCGACCCGTCATAGTTTACAGTAGAGCAGGGGTGGGGACCCGCTAATTATATATATTGTATGAAATAGTGTTCTATCAAACTGGTCCTATAGTCACTCTATTACAGATGGAGTCATGTAACTAAAGTAATTTCTCCCTGGGATTATTAAAGTATTTCTGATTCTGATTCCTGGTTGATGGGACAGGTGTTGTGAATGAAACGGTGCCCAGCTTGAAAGAGCTCCTGTGTGTCTCTGAATGTGAGCATTGATGACTGAAAGACATCTTCTGCCTCCATTTATCTGTTTACTACAGCATGTTGGATTCATGTTAATGTGGATTTAAAGACATTTCAATTAGTGGAAAAAATTGCAGTGGGGAATATAAAAAAAAGTCTAATCAACCAAAACTTTCGCGACCCCAATGCAGTACCTCCTGTTGAAAACCTCCGGTCTAGAGTTTAGTTTATAGCGGCCCTCAGGGACTGCAACTGCCCACCCCTGGTTTAAAGGAACAGTTTGAATTGTGCATCGCGTATCAGAGATGTCTGTTTTTACCCGGCTTGGAGACGATCTTCTGCAGCTGCTGGTCCAGGTACTCCTGCCTCTCGGTGAGCGCGTTCAGCCACTGTTCCCTCATCCTCTCCAGGTCCGCCTCCTGCAGAGCAGGACACACATCAGCAGGACAGAAGCCATTTTACTCTGTTTTAGTTTTGCACTGATATGAACACTGACCTGGTAGCTGTCCATGTCTTCCCCTTCATCCTGAATGACAGTTCAGTAGAAGCTTAGAAATCAGTGGAGTGGAAATATGAATGCAAGGAACTAGAAGGGACTCACCCGATTGTTTTTGGGGACGGGCATCTGGCGAACCTTTACGTCCCCAACCGACACGGATAGAATGGAGGCGGCGATGAGCGGCATTGTTCCGGAGTCTGGTACCGGCCTCACCTCCACCCGGATCCGGTGAGACTGACCCTGTAAGGTTTATTCACACAGCCATGAGAACACCTTCTACTTCTCTCCCCCTCAAAGCGGCCCGGTCACCGTCACCTGTTTGAGCTGGAAGACGCCGCCAGTGCGGACGTCTTTGGCAGGAAGAACCTCCACGGCGGCGAAGTCTCCCGCCTCGTTCAGCTCCACCAGCTGCACCCACAGCTCCAGGCGCCGGGTCACCTCGCTCCACCTGCAGGAGAGAACCGGACCGTTCATCATCCCAGCAGGGCTCAGGGTTAGCATACCAGCGGAGGCGGTCTGGACCTCTCTCTGAGGGATCTGGTCTTAGCCTGAATCACTCCCAGGTCCCACAGCGCCAGGTTCCTGCGATGGTTGGCCTGTTTGTGTCCGTAAACTTCAATCGCCACGGCGCCGTCAGCCAGGAACTCCAGCAGATCTTCTGTCGCTGGAACCGATAACTCCTGAACGCAGAACAAAGGACCGTTTCAGCTCCAGGTTTCTCAATCATTTCTCTACATTCTGGACTTTTTCCCACCACCTTGGTGCTGTCAAAGACCACAGTGCACTGAGGGTCTCTGGAGGCAGACGGCGTGCTGGACGACGCCACCTCCGGAGCGGTGAAGACCGGCTCCTCCAGGCCCCAGAAGTGATACTGGCAGAAGACGAAGTTAGACAGGTGGCGAGGAAGACCGGTGGCCTGGAGGATCTTCACCTGCGGGAGATCAGGAATAAACGTTAGTGAAAAAAAAGAACAAATCAGAAAAACTAAGAGCCTTAAATCTGCCATCCTCTCACCACACAGTCCAGTTTGCGCTCCTGCTGCTCTGCTGTCGGGTCGGGGGGTCCGGCGCCGCTGTCCTCAGAGTTTTCAGTACCTCTCCACACTTCCACATGCAGACGGCCCGCAACCTCAAATTAAAAAACGTTCTTTATTGTAATTTATTCTAGTCAGAATAAGAATTTGGATTCAACATCTAAACAATAAATATTTAGAAATTCAATTTCTAAATGACAAATATTTAGAAATTGGGGCATTAGCAAATTGGAAGAACCTGATTAAACATTACTACGTTTAGTGATATAAATCATGTTTAATGATAATAATCACACTTCTTTATGGTGGCCTGAAGTCCATTTTAAACGTTTTATTTGCAGCATTAATTGTTTGTAATTATGGGCTATGATCGTGTGACATGCAGCCACAGATACACAGTTACCTGAGAATCGCTTCAAAGAGGTAATGAAGTATTTTTATCCTCAATTTTATCTATATCATAATAGTACCACTAAATATTGTTACAAGATTTTTAGGCCATGGTTAAGGGTCAAGTTCACAAGAGGAACAAAATCAAATTTTAACATTTAACTTTTCTGCCAGGGCATAAAAAAATCTATCAGATCTCAACTAATTGAGCAATCAATAAATAATTAACTGGATTATAGAGACCTTAAAACATGCATTTAGCTGACAGAATGAACCACTTAGAGCATTAATTATGTCAAAGTTATGAAAAAATATATAAATATATATTTTCAGAACTCCACAACTGGAAAACGTTACAAATTTCCCCTGGTTTCATTTGGTTTAAATCTTCTTTAAGGAACCCTCCGATTATTAATGATGAATCAACAAATTAATCGCGCTACAAAATAATAATTAGTTTCAGCCCTAATTTCAGCATTTTATTGTTTGATTGTACCAACTTGATGCCACCAGGGGGCAGTATCTGGAATGCGAAACCCTTTTTTTCCCTTTGGTTTCTATTGGTTCTATGTTTCTAAACTGCAAAGCAAACATTTGTTCTGTGCTAAAGTCAAACCCAGCCATGTAATATTATCCGTATTGTTTAATCTGTGTCTTTAATCAGTATTTACATGCAAATCAATCTGCATTAAAATAACCAGTCCTTCTGTAAACACAGTGAAACATGAAACCACATCATTTACTACAAAAATGACAGAAAGTCTGCGTTGGTGATGCTGCTCATGTATCCTACCTCTCCTTTCTGGTTGATGATGGGCACTGCATACTGCAGCTTAATGTCGTAGAACAAGCAGGCCAGGAAGACGTTGGCCACACCGATCAGACTGTGGTTCTCCTGCTCATCGAAGAAGGGGTCTTCATGCTTGAAGTATCTCATCATCTGAATCAGGAAGAAAAGGCTTTAATGCTGTCGTCCCGATTCAAAACGTCAGCCTGGTGTCTCTACTCACAGGGTTATCCTCATCCATGACCTTCCACTCCTGGTACAGGTCCCTCATGTCCACCAGCCGGTTCTCCAGCTTCTCCAGGGCCCAGATCTGCTTCCCTTTCCCTTTCCTACGGACCTGGATGGCCGGCTCACTCAGGACCGCATCACGCTGCAGCGACAGAAGCATCACTGCTTTTAACAAAACAGCTCCTGAATGGGAGATCAAACTGCACTGCAGCGGCAGGGGGCATTACCAGCTAACTCAGGCTCCATTAACCTGAGTTCAGTCTCCATGGTAACATATGCAGTGCAATAGGTGAGCTACAAAATAGCAGTTTCCTTAAAATAAGTGAATTATACTGAAATCATGAAAGTAAACAAAATTATCTTCCAATGAAAAAAGATTTTTTACCTTAGAAAAAAAAAAAAATACAATTATTTTATTTTAGAGGCTAAAATACTCATTTTAGTGGAATGCTCCTAAGAAGCGGAAACACTTGTTTCAACAAATGTTTACTTTTATTCTGATCATTTTATTTTGATACAACCTCCCATCTGACCAGGAGGTTGTTTCCACGTCTCTGATAAACGCAGGTGTTACCTTCCTGTTGGCGTCCAGGTTGGCAGCGGGTATCTGCAGGGTCACCACGTACTCCGTCCTCTTGTTTAGCTCTTCGGCGATGAAGCTGGCCTCTTCGGCCAACATTTTGGCCCGAACGATCTGCTGCCTGAGGCGCCGCAGGCTGCGGGTCATCAACGCTTCTCTGCAAAACAAAAGAAAATAAAGAAATAAATAAATGTTCCTTCGTGGGATCATTTCACATCGTATAGCCTTGGTTTACCGGTCTTCGCTCCAGCGCCGCAAACGTTTGTTAGACGACGGCGCGGCGGCTGATGCGTCTGAAAAGTGGGCGGGCCTTTCAGGAGTGAGGCGCTGTCGGAGCTGCTGCAGCTCCTGTTCGTACATCAGTCTCTGTCGCTCCAGAGCGCAGCGCTTCTCCTCCTCATGCTGCCTCTCCAGGGTCTGCAGCACCGACTGCAGGGGGTCTGGGAGAGGAGGAGGAGCCACAGGATGACGACATGTTTGAAAGACATCTGCAGCCTAAAGCTCCCCTCCTAACGGGCCTTCTGGGAGGCAAAGTGTGCAGACAAAATGCTGCACAGCCGGTCTCTTGTTTAAACTGGCATATATAGTCGAGCCGTTTGGCCTCTAAATATTTGCACAAGCTGCCTGAGGACGTTTGATAAGAGCGATTCTTTTCCAGCCCCTCATTCCAGCACTGAGGAGGTTTGCTGTGACTCACCGTTGGTGCCCATCCCTTTCATCATGACCTCGGTCTGGGCGAACTCATAGCTGAAGCTCAGGTCACTGGAGACGTCGCTGGTCGAGTCCAGATCCGCCTCCAGCTGCTCGGCGCTCAGGCGTTTCTGCATGGCGGCTCCACCGCCCTCGTCCTCGCCTGCCGCTCGCCCTCTGTGCCTGGGGAGGCTGATCCTGTAGATAGAGGAAGTTCATTAAAAAATATAGGAAGAAAAGCTGTTTGTTCTACCAAGAGGAAATAAACAAAAAGGTGAGATGTCAGAGTAATGAGCTGAAACCAACCGGAAGTAGTGGTTGTTTCCCCACAGGATTCTGTCACCATGATGCAGCTGGATCTGACTGGTGACTACCGCGCCGTTTACACAGGTCCTGCATCACCGACAATATTCACAATTAAACAAGATTCAAAGGACAGCAGTCTGTGGTGTGGATGGAGAATCAATGCTAGACAGCCAATAAAGCGAAGGAAGAAACTTTTCTATATGTCATACATGAATGCAGTGCAATCAAGTTTAGTGAGAGCGAGACTTTCAAGAGATAACAGGAAGGCAGAAGAAATTAATGTGAGGATCTTGTTTCTCAAACAAATAGAGGAACCTTTTCCTCTGAATTGGTTTAAATTCTACCACCGATGACCCAAATGTCTGAATCAATTATGCTAAAGCAGAGCGTGGTTGAAAACTACCTACATATAGTTTGCCATTACTAATGCTAACCTAAACGCAGATGAAGTAACTAAATCTAACTAAACCCTAAATCAATTTAATTTGATGATAAATTGGACAAATCAGCTTTCTTCACATCATTGCGAAAATCTTGATATAATTTTTACTAGGCCTAAAACCATCTCAACACTGCCCTCTATGGGTTTGTAGATGGCTGCTGCATGGGAAATTTTCTATTAGAGCAACACCGTGACTTTTGACCCAAATATTATCTTAATTTAAAATACTTGACGTGTATTTGTGAGTTTATAAGTATGAGAATTCAACTTGTACATCTTAAATCACTTGAGTTGGCCAACCACGTTGTGGCATTGTAGTTTAAGGCAGGACATATAGTTTATCTGAAAGCAAGAACGGCCGAACCAAAACAAACAGAAGTGTTGGAAGACGTACGTGAAATCAGGAAAAGTAAATTGTTGTGGTTTCTCATGGCGTCTGCTGCCATTTCATTTGTAGCCATCATTGGCTAAAACAAAACTTTAGAGGCCAGGAATCAGGTGTCGCTTTGCTCAAACATGTGAGCAGCCCCAGATTAATAATGTTTAAAACTAAACTTGGCTTCTACAGATGATCAATCTGGCTTGTCAGTTTAGTGACTGTGGCCTCATCTTTACCAGCAGATCCCTAACGTCTCGATCTGCTGGTCCACAGTGGTGCCACCAGATTCCAAAACATCGAGTTAAACCATTTAACTCCGACAGTGCACTGTTGTCAGTTGCTTTTAAGGAAGCCGAACCTGTTCTAATGCCCCGAGTGGCTAAAAGTTACATAGTGTTGCTATATAGCTGTAAAGCTTGGTTAACGTCTACGTCAAAGCCTGACATTCAGGTTTAACAGACGTTAGTTGCCCTCCAAGTTGGGAGCTTGTTACTTAACTCTGTGGAAACTTAAACATAAACGTATAAGTTATGAACACGCTGAAACACATTGGCACACGTCGACATACGGAGAGTACGTCGAGAAATGTTCAGCATGCTCAAACCTTCTCGACATATGCCAGTGTATGTTCATACATGGGCATAAGGTACAGGTAAGGAGTCTTATCGTTGACATACGGTAAGTCTAAATTACTCGTGATGTCTGGCATATCCAAAACCTATGAGTAACTTATCAAGAACTTTTCTCCAACCCATATTAAGGTATTTGACGTGTTCCAGATGATGACTGAATGTTTTTCTAACTCACAGCTACTGTTTAATGGCGTATTGGCAGCATTTTGGTATGAAAGGGAGTTCACAGGAGGAAAATCTCAGTACTCCTCCAGACTTCATCCTGATCATAAGGCAAGTGTGAAGGTGAGTGTGATGGATCCTCCCTGCGTTCACGCCCAAGGCCAACAAACCTCCTAGCAGACATGACGCTTTAATCTGCAGCGACTGCAAACCTACTTTCTTTTTCTTTATTCTTTTATTTTTATTTTTGTTGTACGGTAAACATCAGCTAGGTTACCACTATCAAAGACATCTTTTTATTGAGGCGTGCATTATGCATAAGTTAGACTGTCGCTGGACATAAGTTCTGGACTCCTTATTAATATGCTATGTATACACCCTAAAGGGAAAAAATACATAGAAAGAGAAAGAGAGATTCTGTGACATTGGTCATATGCTAGCAAGGTGTGACAGGGCCCTGATTCATGACAACAAACACAAGAGGATCTTTTATTAGTGACCAGACAACATACCGCGCCCCACGGTGAGGAGTGAGCACCACGCTGTTCTCCGATATGTCGATGACGCAGTGCTCTGGCTGGATGGCCATCCCACACAGCTGGACATCCTGCGAGTCGGCTGAGCCCACGCGAGCGTGATCCTGGCAACGGTACACAGCTGGAGGGTTAACTTCCTTTTATCCGAGCGGAAGATGTGCGTGTTCGGGTGGCGTACCTTGAGGTAGTAGACCAGCAGCTCGTTGAGGGCGGGGTCAGCGTTGAGGTTGACCAGGAAACACTTGTCTTCCACCACTCTGATGCCGGACGACTGAAGGGAGATACCCAGACTTTCCAGCTGCTTCTGACGCTCCTACAAGACGCAGAAGTTGACTGAACAGGTACTTTTCATAAGCGGAAAAAGGGAAACAACCTTGATATTAAGAAACGTAGAAAGGGCAACATTTTACCTGAGCAACAGCTTCTGTCTTGCGGAGCTTCTCCTCCCAGGAGACTGTCATCTCTTGGATTAACTTCTCAGACTCTTCCAGTCGCTCCTTCAGCTCAGGAGCTTTCATCGACTGTAGAAACACAGCAGCTGTATTTAATCTGACTAATCCTATGGCTCACCAAGTCTAAGTTCAGCGATGTGCACCTCCGCCTCTGTGAGCTGCTCCTTGAGTTTCTCCACTTCCTCTCGGAGCTCACGGATGATCCTGGCGTTGGGGTCTTCGTTGACCACGGCGTGGTTGACAATGCTCTTGGCCCTGTCTGCGTAACGCAAGGTGGACAGCGTCTCGTCGTAGTTGTCTGCCGCCGGGCTGATGGTGGCGACCATGACGGTGCGGCTATTACCTCCAAGGCTGTCCTGCAGATGCAGAATCCAAGCTCTCAGCAAATATGCTACAATGGATCTCATCCTGCAATGTTCAGTCTACAAGCATAGATGTTCTTTTAAAACTTGTGTTACTGAAGATTTATTAGTATTTAACAACAAAGCAAAAGGATTTGGGGCAGAACGTGCCCAAAGCATCACAGATCCGCCACTGTGCTTGATAGAGGCATTCCAAGTGTTTCTTGGCCCCACAGACTGGGATCTGCTTCACTCCCTAGAGTCCAGGCAGATCCTCCAGGCAGAGAAGCAGACATACGCTGGGCAGGTCCATGTAAAAATCAGTTTTTACAAACTGCGTACGGTTATGCGGCATTACAGAATAAAATGCCTGACCTGAAATGGCAGTCATATCAATCTAGGGTGACCAAACGTCCGTATTTCCCGGGACATGTCAATATGCAAGAGATCTGAAAAGCCAACTGGACTCCAAAAGTAAAGATAGTCTATTGATATGTTTGTTCGTTTTTGGTACATTTTCAGTTATTTTTGCTACACAAGAGGTATTTTTTGTTAATTAGCTCATTTGTTAAATTATTTTTTCCAATAGCCTACAGAACAGACATTATTTC